ACAAGAGTTTCAGCAGCCTGAGGAGTGGGATAGTGGCGGAATTGGGCAATGTTACGGAGATGAGGAAAGGCAGAGCGGGTCATGACTTGAATGTGGGGGAGAAAAGACAGTTGAGGTTCGAACAAGACACCTAGGTTCCTGACTGACTTGGTGAGTTGTAGTGTACAACCATGGAGGTTGATGTTACCAGAGCTTGAGGTGCAGAGGCGCTGGCGTGAGCCAATCAGGAGGGCCTCAGTCTTGTTCACATTCAACTGTAGGAAATTTTCCCTCATTCAGGGTTTGATGTCCAACAGCAGTGGTCCTGGAGTTGAGGGTGGAGCAGAAAGATAGAGTTGGGTGTCATCCACATACATGTGGAAGTTGACTCCATGTCTGCGGATGAGGGGGAGCATGTAGATATTAAAGGAGAGGGCCAAGGACAGAACCTGGGGGACGCCAGATGTGACAGTGCGGGGGGGCTGGAGGAGAAATCGTTAAAGACAACAAAGTAGAGACGGTGAGAGAGATAGGAATTGAACCAGGCAAGGGCAGATCCGTGAAGATTGAGTAAAGCGGAGAGGCGGTGTGAGGATGGAGTGGTTGACAGTGTCGAAGGCAGCAGAGATGAAGTGAATGACCAATTTTATTTAGGAGATTGTTGACCAGGGTCAGGGTGAAAACCAGACTGCAGGGGATCGAGGAGGGAGAGGTGTGACTGAAGTTGACCTGCAACAATGCATTCCAGGACTTTGGCAAGAAAGGGTAGGTTGGAAATGGGACAGTAGTGCGAGAGATTAACAGGATCAAGAGTGGATGTTTTGAGGAAGGGTTTGTGTTTTGAGTGAAAGGAGATGACTGTTGTACCAGGGGGAGTGGGTGGGTTTGGAAACAAACCTGGATTTTAGGGCAGCCAGGGAATTGAAGGTTGTTTAGAGACAGTCATTCAGCAGCTTGATGGCTGTATCAGGATCGCTGAGGGTGGAGGGTCAGAGGGAGAGGAGGTCCAAGGCCGAGAGGGCATTTGTGAAGGACTCAGGGTGAAGCTTTTTCCAGGGACAGTTTTGCCCTGCCGGGAATTGAACCCAGGTCACTTGCTTGCGAGGCGAGTACTCTAACCACTGAGCTACAGGACTCCACAAGATGGACTCCCACCTTAGATATAGTCCCACACAAGAGATGAGACTCCTGCACTCTGCCTGGCCGAATACATTTTGGTGGACATTGAATTATACATTGTTCTCCATCTCTTCCGCAACATTTGGTTTGGCCAACCTTAATCATTGTATGTGGATATGTAAGCATTATGCTGTTGTTTTCTTTTAACTACCTATAACCATTACTAATTTGAATTAATAAATCGTGATTAATTGTACAAGATTTTTGTCAGTCTTTACTTTACCACAGGTTAAATTGGACATCTTACAAGAGGAAATACCAGTGAGGAAGGAGTCAAGAGGTTGGGAGGTGGCGGGGCAGAGGGGCATGTGGGCAGTAGACTAGGAGGATTTTGAGGGAGAGAGAAGAGTGATGGTAAGGTGCTCAAAGGACCACAACCTTCTGACTTAGAGGAGAGAGTGCTCCCAACTGAGCCTGTCTGGCACTTGTAGTAAATTCCTTTCTGTGGATCATAAAACTCTGCTCTAAGGATTAAAACCATGACACTATGATTCTAGGACCACTTCCTCCTAAAATATTTTAAAAATTGCTTTACACTGTACTGTGTAAGGGTTCATTTATTTTCATGACCTTGCGGTGAAGGACTGACACAAATTAATCAAGGTTTATTCATTCAGATTAATAATGGTTATAAGTAATTAAAATACATCCGATTGTGCTTGTGTATCCACGTATACCGTAGTTCACAACGATTTAAGTTGACCAAATCAAATACCACGGAAGAGATAGAGTAGCAATGGCCAACTTAACAACCATTTAAATGTATCCTTTTTAATTCAAATATATATGTCCATCCAAAGGTATCCAAGTATTGTTGTACGTTTCCAGTTCAATATCACCCAAAAGTACCCAGGTATTATTGTATGTTCAATTCAATCACTCGAAAGTATCCAGGTATCATGGCATGTCCAATGCTATTATGGTACGTCCAATTTGATCCCTCTCCTTCCTCAAATCTTTTTTCTGATTATCTTCCAAATCGATCTGTTTATACAGTTCGTTAGGTGACCTTTCACCTATTGTCTTTTGCAAGACGGTTCCTTTCTAAAAAAATACAACACAGCTCTCTCTCCAGCTGCAGACCATTTTTTCCATGAGAAAATGACTGCCAAGGACTGAAAAGTTTGTTGTTAGAAGTCCTGTAGTTCAGTGGTTAGAGCACTCGCCTCTCAAGCAGGGCGAAACATTGGGCAAGTTTTCTTACTCCACACCCCTAATAATAGTCCCTCAAGAAAAAAAAACAATAAAATTAGTCACTTCAATCCACGACTGTACTGTGCACAATTGGCTGCCGCGCATCTCCCACAAATATAGTCAACTCACTTTACAGTATATTCTGTGAAGCACTTTGAGACGTCTAGATGTGAAAAAGCGCTATATCAAATGCAAGTATTATTTATTATTATAGTCTTTTGTTTCTTCTGCGAAGTATGTCACAGCCAGCTCCCACCATATTAGACTGATCATATTTCTCAAATATATAAACATCGCAAATATAATTTGAGAAGTTATTCAACACATTAATTACGGAATCTTACAGCTTTGCGCACTGCAAAGCGCACTTGCCTGATTCATCCTCTTTTCACACAAAGCTGACACTGGCGTAATCAGTGGTTCCTTTTATTTATTGCAACTCCTAATGAATTTAGAAATTGCGTTTGTGCCAGTCACATGTAGAGTGTGTTGGACGGAGAACGTGAGAAAAAAAAGATCCACTAAGTCAACTTCGATAATCGAAACCGGTTTTCCGAGTTCAACACCGCAATGATTGATATTCTTCATTTGTGGGAACAAAACAATTGACTCAACCAGCAAGTCTAGGATTCCACGCTAAGCATTTGGCTCGCCCACAAGCAGGCACGTCTGCTCAACGATGAGACAAGCTACTGGGAAACATGTTAAATATAGCGTCTCTACCAGCAAAAGAGGCTGCGACATCCGGCTCTACGATTGTAACCGCACGAGATGATGGGAGGAACGGTGAGACTAAAACAAAACACCTACACACACATCCCCACCCACCCGCACACGAGCTGCAGAAAATGTAGTAAAATTACACCATATGCAGCAGCTTTATTAACTTGTCCTTTTATCCACAATAACTCCAGTAGAAACCCCTCTTGATCTTCGTCCATTACCTTCCTCCCAGCCCCCCATCACCGACAGTCTGTGCACTAATAATATCCACTCTCCACAATTGCTCCGGTGAGGGCTAAAAGCTCTTGCTTATCGTGACATCTGAGTAAATAGATTAAATGCAAGGATGATGATGATGATAGTGATTATTATTATTGTTGTTGTTATCTGTAGCAACCACTTTAACGTTAGCGTCCCGAGCAGTAACCGCCGGGGCAAGGAATTGCTCAGCAAAGTGATAAAAGTGCTACAAAAGTCGTAAGATTTTTATTTCTTGAACTCCTCTTAACAAGTGCTCCCCCTCCGTCCCCATCTCCAAGCATCACCCCCCCAACCCCAGCTCTAAAGATCACCCGCCCAACCCCCTCCCCCCAACTCTAAACATCACCCCCCAACCCCCTCCCCCCAGCTCTAAACATCACCCCCACCCCTCCCCCCAACTCTAAACATCACCCCCCAACCCCCTCCCCCAGCTCCAAGCATCACCCCCCAACCCCCTCCCCCCAGCTCAAACATCACCCCCCCAACCCCCTCCCCCCACTCTAAACATCACCCCCCAACCCCCTCCCCCCAGCTCAAACATCACCCCCCACCCCCTCCCCCCAGCTCTAAACATCACCCCCCAACCCCCTCCCCCCAGCTCCAAGCATCACCCCCCAACCCCCCCCAGCTCTATACATCACCCCCCAACCCCCTCCCCCCAGCTCTATACATCACCCCCCAACCCCCCCCCCCAGCTCTAACATCACCCCCCAACCCCTCCCCCAGCTCTATACATCACCCCCCCAACCCCCCCCCAGCTCTAAACATCACCCCCCAACCCCCTCCCCCAGCTCCAACATCACCCCCCAACCCCCTCCCCCCAGCTCTATACATCACCCCCCAACCCCCTCCCCCCACTCCAAACATCACCCCCCAACCCCCTCCCCCCAGCTCCAAACATCACCCCCAACCCCCTCCCCCCAGCTCTACATCACCCCCCCCCCCCCCCTCAACATCACCCCCAACCCCCTCCCCCCAGCTCTATACATCACCCCCCCAACCCCCTCCCCCCAGCTCCAAACATCACCCCCCAACCCCCTCCCCCCAGCTCCAAACATCACCCCCCAACCCCCTCCCCCCAGCTCCAAACATCACCCCCCAACCCCCTCCCCCCAGCTCCAAACATCACCCCCCAACCCCCTCCCCCCAGCTCCAAACATCACCCCCCAACCCCCTCCCCCAGCTCCAAACATCACCCCCAACCCCTCCCCCCACTCCAAACATCACCCCCCAACCCCCTCCCCCAGCTCTATACATCACCCCCAACCCCCAACTCTAAACATCACCCCCCAACCCCCTCCCCCCCAGCTCTAAACATCACCCCCCAACCCCCTCCCCCCAGCTCTAAACATCACCCCCCACCCCCAGTGGTTGGGAGACGGAGGGCTGGTGTGTGTGTGTGTGTGTGTGGAGAGAGAGCGAGAGAGAGATAACAATATGTGGCAACATGGAGGTAACCGAGGCCCCGCCTCACTGACGGGAAGGGGCGGGAAGCTCGGCCCCACTGCCCGGAGATCCTCTCCTCAGACACTGGCAGTCAGTGGGACAGCGGGGGAGGGGGAGTGGGGGGGCGGAGGTACGTCACGGGCGGCCCTTCCCCCTCGGCTGACGTAAGCACGTGCCGGCGTGACTCACTGCGCACATGCGCAGTGCTGTCTTAGCCCCCCCCCCCTACACTCCCTCACCCGCTTCGCCCGGGGTCGCGGCGGCGATGTGAGACACGGCGGACGGGGGAAGATGGCGGGTAAGGCTCGAGAGACAGAGAGAGAGAGAGCGCCACACACACGCGGGATCGTGTTTATTACTGTGTTACACGCTCAGTGTATTTGCTGTGTTTGTGTGTCTGGCGCCCCCTTTCCCGGGGCAGCTCCCCGGGCACTGGCCGCCCGCCTCCGTCTGTCCAGCGGCAGGTTGAGAGTTTCTCTCTGGCCCTCGGGGAGACCTGAGGGGCCGCCTGGGCCCCATCACCGCTGCTCCTCCAAACCTCCCCTGGGAGGAAGCCTGCGGGGAAGTCTCCCGTGTGCCCCCACCGAGGACCGTTACTGCTGCCCCTCCCCTGCCCCCTCCCTCTGCATCAGGCGTGTGGAGTCCTGTGGCTCAGTGGTTAGAGCACTCGCTTTGCAAGTGAGAGACCTGAGTTCAATTCCAGGCAGAGGGCGAAACCTCGGGCAAGTTTCCTTACTCCACACAGAGCCTAATAATAATCCCTCCAAAACCAAAAACAATAATTAAATTGGTCATTTTCAATCTACGACTGTTTGTGGGACATTGCTGTGCGCAATTGGCTGCCGCGTTCGCCCACAAATATACAGTCAATTCACTTTACAGTGTGTTCTGTGAAGCGCTTTGGGACGTCCTCCCGACGTGAAAAGCGCTATATCAAATGCAAGGATTATTATTATTATTATTATTATCAGCATTAAAGATGCTCTTCCCAACAACTCCCGGGGGTGGGGGGTGTTGGCACAGACCCCAGTCAGGCCTTTGGACCTTTGCACTGTTAATGTTCTGGGCCTTTCTGATCGGGAGAGAGTCCGACATCAGCAGTTTTCTCTTCTTAGAACCCGCTTAAAGAGAGAAGTAAGCAGTTTTTTCTTCTGGAGGCAACTTGGGATGACATCCTCTTTCGGTTCCTTACCAGAGATTCAGTCACTACATGATGGGTTAGAATTATAATCAGACGTAAGATTGAAATTTGGGTTGTGTTCGCATGGATTACAGATTGGATCCCAGTCAAAGACCCCATCTGTACCCTCTACCAAGACCCCCACCCCCGACCCCCTCCATCTGTTTTCAATTCTGATCATTTTTTAAAATGATCCTGTCGGCTGCGTGAAGAGCTTTGAAAGGTTTCCAGATGTGAACGCACCTGTACCAATGTAAATTGTTTCTGTTTTTATAACAAATTAATTTCATGTGGTATGCAACGTTCTCTTCAGATACCTTTACATTTGTAGTCCACTTTATGGATTCCCATATTATTCAGGCAAATGTAAACAAGAAGCTTTATATATATATATATACCTTGCGTGATATTTTGCAGTCTTTTATTTGGCATAAGATGAAGCCTTCACGAAGATGATTGCTGCAGCCATTTGTATATCTTTTTAAGATGAATTATTATGCCAGGGTTCTGCTGATGGTAGGCTAATGCTGAGTCATGCACTCGATAAAGATCCCAGATTCAATCCTGGGGTTGGTTTGTTAGCAAATTTCAGTCGAAGCATTGGAAGGGTCTGAATTTGGATCGAATGGGTGGGGTGGTGGGGGGAGGGAGAGATAGGTGTCCTGAACCTGTTTGCTTTCAAGTGAATCGTGCTGGAAGGTGCACGTGAGTCAACATCATTGGACATAGTGTAATTTTCTTTCACATGGTTAAAAAGCATGAGAAGGTTACTGAAGAGCTGCTGGTAGTTCTCCGGGGGGTGGGGGAGGGGGGTGCAGGGTAGGTGGCTGGCCGTAAGCAGGGCTAAAGAGGAAGGTTTCAGGCGGAACTTGAAAAAGGGGAGAGGGGGGTCAAGGCGGAGGGAGAGTGTTCCAGTTTCGGGGCGTAGTGACAGAAAGGGTGACTTCCAAGGGTGAAAGGGATGAGCAGGAGGCCGGTGCCAGTCGAGCGGAGGCAACGGGTGGTTCATTGGGGATTGAGGAGGTTGGAGAAGTAGGGAGGTACCAGAGAGTGAAGGGATTTGAACATGAGTCTGAGAATCTTGAAGTCGATCCATTCGGTGATGGGGAGCCAGTGGAGCCTGGCCAGAACTAGTGCGATGCGGGTATGGAATTTGGTCCGGGTTTGGCGGCAGAGTTGTGAATAAGCTGAATCTTTTGAATAATAGAGTTGGGGAGACCGATGAGGAGTGCGTTTGAGTAATCCAGGTGGGAGGTGACAAACGCATGCACGAGGCTTTTGGTTGCATTTGGGTTACAGTCGGAGGTGGGCAATGTGGCAGAAGTGGGAGAAGGCGCTCCTGGTTAGAGACCAGATGTGGGGGAAGAATATCTGGATATCGAACCAGACGCATAGATTGCACACTGGTTCAGTGAGTCTGAGGGAGAGCCCATGGAGGTTGAGGAGCTTAGAATAGCAGGAGAGATGACATTGACGGGAGCCAAGGAGTATGGCTTCTGTCTTGTCCACATTCAGCTGCAAGAAGTTTCCATTCATCCAGGGCCTGATGTCTGCCAGACAAGCTGATAGAAGATGGGCTATGTGAAAGGTGATTTACAAATGTAATTTTGTTGTAGTTGTTGTGGTTGTGTACATGAAATGTGCTACTTAAATACAAGTTTTGTTATCTTTTGTAAAATTGGGGCTATAATTACAACATTTTGCAGTACAGTTCAATCTGTTTTAACATCCTCCCCTTTACAGTATAAGACAGCCTCCCTTATACAGCTGATGTTCTCTGGACCCATGCTAACTGGAAGCATGCTGATTGTACACCAGTTTCAATCACTGAAGCCTCCCAACTCTTTTTATATAAAAAGGTGACGTTCCGGTAATGACCTACAGCACTTTCTGTGCCCTAGGCATAGGAAACCATGCTAATTTTATTTCACGTTTGCCATGCACAGGAAGCATCACTTCTGAGAAAAACGACATCAGCAATGCTGCTTGAGCATAATCTGCAGTTTCACCCACAAAATACAGTTAACCACCTTACAGTACCTTTCTGTGTTGGGCGAACTAAACGTGAGGCAGAATGAAGATTCCTCTCAAGAAGTAGTGGTGATGATCACAAACAGAAGCAGCAGAACTTCCTTGTTTATATTATCATGTTGTTGTCAAAAGGAAGGCTGCTATAAGTGGAAATGCTGTTAGCTAAAGGAGCAACTTCACAATATAGTGTATTTAGAACTCAAACAATGTTTGTCCCATTGAGAGAGTGCTTTTTTGCTGCTGTTACATTTGAATACTTGAGAGAAAAGCAACGATTTTAGCCAGGATAACCGGGCACGCTAAAATAATTTTACATTTTCACCAAAAAAAATCCTAATAGCTGTTGCACAGAATTGCATTGCAATTGTACAGTATTAGTTTTAAAATAACAGATTTGTTAAAATGTTTGAATTTCTTCCATATAAGGTTTGCTAACTGCTGCCCAAGCACTCCATGTTCCAATAAACCAGTTTGGAAAAAAAATCTTCCAACCTCCACTTTAATCCTTTTAGTGATGAACTGGAGTATGCTTCCCCCTTGTTTTATCAACCAGCAGGAATAATCTTTCACTGTTTACTATTTATTTGTTACATAAATAAACTTGGTTTATTATGGAGCTGCAAACGTGGCTTCTCAACCTTAATGGTTTGGGCTTCTTGTAGGTATTAATGCCCTGCAAGTTATTTTTTTTCACAAATGAAATAATATTATTTTTCTAATTTTCTCCCTGTTGGTATACACTGTAATTAAGAGTGAAAAAGCTTCTGAACATTTTGTCTTGATAATATTTCCTCTGGAAATGACAGTAGTATTCCTAAAACATCTGAATCCTGAGTTTGTGTCCCTATGAATGATGTGCCTGTATTTCTGTTGGAATATATTTGGATTTTTTAATCCCTGGTATGGAGCTGTTGTACTGTCTGTGCAGTGTCATAAACAAATATTGACATGCGTCTTAACATTTTAAAACATGTTTAGCATTTTCTTCAGGTAAGGAATGCTTTCCTGTGCTGCTGGTTTCTCTTGAAAATGTGAATTTAATTGTGTTTTGATAAAAGGCTTTCAAAATGCCCTAATTTGAAAATGATGTAGCATTGGTCGTTTCGCCCACAAAGTACCCAGTCAATTTACAGTATATTGGACAGTACATTCTGTCCAAGAGGGTAAAACAATTTTTGGTCAAGCCTGCAAGACATGTACGTATTAATAATAAACCTTGCATTTGATAGAGCATGTTTTACATCTTCTGTTGCGATGTGTGATTTTACTACTGTCACGTTTGAATACACTTGACTATTCCAGAATTATCTGAAATCTCATTTGTGTTAACGTAAAAAGAAAGTTTCAGCACAAAGTCCATTTAGCTCATTGTGTCGTGTTACTGCTGTCTGTTTGGACAGAAATGGTCAGGGTGAGGGGAGGGAAGGGAGGGAGCGAGGAGGGGGTAGAGAGTCGAGAGGGGAGCTGAAGGCACGGTCAAAGAGAAAGGTCTTGAGACCGGCCTTGAAGGAGGAAAGGGAGGAGGCGGCGAAGGCACTGGGGGATAGAGTTCCAGAGCCTCGGGGCTGAGAGGCTGAAGGCCCGACCACCGATAGTAGGGCGGTTGGGGCGGGGGATGTGGAGCAGACCGGAGCCAGAGGAACGGAGGGTACGGGCAGGCAGGTAGGGGGATAGTAGGTTGGAGAGGTAGGAGGGAGCGAAGCCGTGAATGGCCTTGTAGGTGAGGGTGAGGATCTTGAATTCGATCCTCTGGGGGGTGGTGGAGGCGAGCGACGGTGTGAGTGACGGTGCGGGACAGTACACGAGCTGCAGAGTTCTGAATGACCTGCAGCTTGTGGAGGGAGGTGGCGGGAAGGCCGGTGAGGAGAGAGTTCCCATAGTCCAGCCTTGAGGTGGTGAAGACGTGGACCAGTGTTTTAGCAGCGTGAACCATGCACCTTTTGAATGATTCTATTGATTCAACATTATTTGCTACTTAAGGTGATAAATTCCACATATTAACAAACCTCTGAGTGAAAGAATTCTGCTAATGATCCCAAGTATGTTTGTCACTGATTTTCCAGTTTCACCGATGAAAACAATCATCA